TTTTCTCTATGAGGTGATCATATTTACCATGGATGTATTTTTTTCAATATGTCACATTTCACCTTGGGGTCCCTTTCCTTACAGGATCTTGAGGACCAAACTACTTTGTTTTAAAAAGAAAAGTTATTTTCTTCGGTGCCTCTTTGAATCCCCATGTTCTATTTCTGCAGATAACTAGTGAATTTATGGATAAATTTCTATGAGTGGAAGTATGTGTTTTGGAGGGGGGTGCAACATAGATACTGACTCATCAGAAAGCACCAACCTTTATGTAGGTTGAGGCAGCAGAGTTGCAAGTTTAGTTCCTCCTGGAAAACTTAGACCCTGTCTCCCAAGAAGTTTTTGGAGATGTAGAGTTGGTAGCATGGCTCTGGGTTTGATCACTCAGTACCACAAACAAACAAACAAACAAAGCTGCAACCAGCTGGCTCCACAGCTGCTGTAACAAGTGCTGGCATATACCCATGGTCATGAGGAAAAGGCCGCCTCATCAGAGCTACTCCCTGAGAAAGAAGAGAAGGGGAAGAAACTGCACAGGGACATGAGAAGTGACTTTTATGTAAGGCTGCAACTAGGAAGGAAAAGTCCCACAGGTCTTCAGCAAACAGACCCAAAAACAGTAGGGTCGAGTCCCAAGAGACAGCCAACATGATAGGGCCACTTCTCTAAGCATTTTCCACCAAGCTACAGCAGGGCTGGGAGATCAGAACGGGCCTGACCCTAGTGAGGATTTCTGCCCTTACTTTTGGGTACTATCGTTTATCATTCTTTGTAAGAGTCTGCTAACATCAGATAAGTACAGTGTGTATACTGTACTTATTTTATGGATGGATGTTATTTGTACTAGATGGCAATTCTCAGAAAGCACTAACTTTGTCACTCAGAAAGCACCAACTAATGTCTTTACCATACAAAGGGACTTCAAAAAATAGTTCTTAAATGAATGAAGACACACATTCACTGCTGCTTTTGGTCTGTCTTTCTGCATGTATGTATATGACAGTGTAAAGTTCCTTTGTCTTCTGTTTTCTATTCCTATGGGCTCTGCCAACCTTTAATAATGATTCACCATCAGTGGCTTATCCTCACCATACAGAAGATGACCAAGATTAAACTTGTAATTCCCCTACCTCATCTCTTTATTGTCCTGAAATTGTCATTTCTGAAACAAGATTAAGCTTTGTTTTTTTCTAAAATCCAATTCTTTTCCAGATGAGTGACAGATAATGACATAGTTTGTGGAGTTGGGCAGAGCGGGGTGAGAATTCCCACTGTGTCCTTGCAGTGACCTTGGTTTGAGCCAGACTTTGCTTACCGCACATTCTCAGGGAGCCAAACCAAAGAGCCTGGAGTTGCATGCACACTTTATACAAGGGGCCGGGAATGTGTGCAGATCCACACAGAGGACACGAGGCAGGAGGAGGCATGCAGGAGCAAGCCGGCCCCCTCATCCCAATCAAAGCCAGGCAGGGCATGAAAGTTGCTCCACTTACCCAGCGTAGCGGTTGTTGTAAAGGTGGCTGTGCCCTGGTTGCGGAAGCTTCTGATGTGGGCAGTTTGTACCGTATTTAGCTTATCTGTCAAATGTGGCTACCATTGGCCCAAGGTTATAGTGAGAGCTATTAATACTTTTATAAAATATTATAATAAATATTGTATTGGTAAGTAGTGGTCATTTTATACCCTCTGCTACACTAAGTGCCAAGGGTCATTTATATCCATTCTATTGTTTTAATCTTCACAGCTTTGCAGGCAGGTAAATTTATTCTGTCTTTTTTTTTCTTTTTGCAGAACCAGGGATTGAACTCAGGCCCTTGCACTTGCCAGGCAAACGCTTATTCTACTGAGCTATCTCCCCTCCCCTGGTGAACACATTCTAGATGGGCCATAGTTTGTATGTTTTGCTGCTGGGAGGCTCTGAACTACTGGTGGTACCTGCATGACTGCCCCATTGGGTGGCACTGGAGAGTCCCATTGGGTGGCTACAAGTCACCCTATAGACAGTCATGTGTGTAGCACTAGTACAAGCCAGTGGGAATATATTAAGGAATCTGCCCAAGGAAACAGAGCTAGTACGTGTGGAACACAGGAACTGAAATCCAGACAGCTGAACTTCAGGACTTATGCTACTCCAACATATGAAGAAGCAAATAAATAGCTTTTTCAAAAATAATAGCCATGCTAACTCTATAGTGTTGCCAGCATTTATTGTTTTTTCCACGTCCGATATCTTTTACTACAATGAAAAAAGAATCTGACCTAATTTCCTATGATACAAATCTCTTTATTTTTCTTGCTCTCACTATTATAGCATAACAAATAACTAGGTCTGCTTCTAGGACAATGAGATGAAGGCAAAGAAGAGCACATAGGGTGATGTTTGCTTGTGTAGGGGACACACATGTTCAATGCCATTTGTTTATCATCCAAAATTTGACTTGGCATTCATAGTCTCTGAAGCCCTCCAACAGTATTGACTTTAATGATACTTAAAATCAAATTATTTCCCTCAATTTGCTTTATTTCTTTTCTATGTACTTGTAGGCCTCCTCTGTAAATGTATAACTTAATATAGTTATATTTTATTTAGAAAATAATAATTTCTCTGATGTCTTTCTACATATTGTTGGTTTTGTTTCCAGAGACACTTAAATTTGTCATTTACCATGCATCTGCTATTGGATTTGCCCTCTCCAGTTGTTACACTTTCCGTACAAAGAGCCCTGAGCTCATGGAATGTCTCTGGAGGTGTGCTAGATTTCCTGACTTATTTTTTATTCATGCTCAGGGTCTTGCAAATGATAATTAAATATTATTGAATTCAATCAGGGCCTACCAAATGTATTTACATGAATGTAAGAAGTAGGGTTTCCACATAATTATTAACATGAAAATCAAAAGAAAACTTATTCAGGGATAAAAATGAAGTGGGTGAGAATAGCTGAATGGGTACAACCAGTCAAAGAAAATGCTAAATGCCAGCCACCATATCTTCCCATCAGGTTTTTGCCTTCTAAAAATCTAGACATGCGAAAAATAGTTTCCTAAGTAGACAAAACAAAACACTCCCAAATGTGAGTAGCATATCTGCCTTTGGTAATGGAAGAATGACATCTATCTCATGAAGGTACATTAAAGTCTCACTTTTAATGGTGTATACACTCAGACACTTTTGGTTTTCAAGAGGCCCTAGCCTTCTATTGTGATAGACAGGTAAGGCTCCATTCTCCAGCTTCTGATTGTTTCATTTTATTTTCTTTCTTTGTTCTGACACCTAGTAATTGATACATTTGGGACTGTCTTATTATGTGGCAGCCAAAGAGAAAATGGCAATTATTATTTTCAGTGCAGAACAAAGAGAAGGTAGAACAGCCTCCTCCAGCAGGGATCCTGTTGCTGAAAATTCTGTCTGGACAAGATGTTGCCACTGGCCTCATTTCCTCTCCAGTGCATGCTTAGGGAGGGTGCATACCCGCTCGGCTGAAGCAGGCCTCGTCATCACCAAGGGGCACTGCACACTGAGATAATTACGGACAGGGCTACAGCTGAGTGTAGGAGCAAAGTCCTATGTCACAGGAGCACATCTAACTGTGATATGTGCTTCTCCTGTGGCCTCATGTCAGCCAGGAGAGTCAGAATTAACTCTTCCACAACCTCAGGTTGCATTAAACATGGACTTTTTATCCCACATTTTCAAGGGAGGTAAAAATAAAAGGATATAAAGCCTGGAGTTTTTGTGTTCAGGAGACTAGAAAGCAGCCCTCAGATGTTAATTTCCTACTGTTGCTCCCAAGAACACCAGGGAAGAAATATTTGGGATTGTATTACCATCTACAACTCCTCGCTCTACCAACACCTTGATGCCCATCCTGCATCCTCCAAAACTGAGGATGTGTTTTAAATTTTCCTTTGTCTTCACTATATTCAGGCAACCACTAAAGGAAGGGCCCAATTTTTTTTTTTTTTTTTTTTTTTTTGGAGAGGAAGGAAACAATTGTCGTTTCTCTTGTCACATTTATAAACTCCTCTCTACACTATTCCTAGAAAGAACAATTTTTCCTTAAGACATAGGGTACCACCAGGTTACAATCCAAATACATATGAAAGCTTCTCACAACTGATGATTGATAGACTGTTTTTATGAAAAAAAGACTTGAAACACTGGTTTTCCTCTTGTGTTTTAAGCAACTGAGCTAGAGAAACTGTTTAAGGCTCTTCCACCTCCAAAATGCAGGCATTCTATCATTTCTAGGTTCAAAGAACAGCCCCCTGCAAGTCCTAGCCCAGCACATGCTGTCTATACCATGGTAAGCCTTCAGGATAACAAGAACAAGCATTGTAACACACAGCTTTCTACCCAGCCCTGGGCCTCCTTAAGAAATCCATATACAAAACACACTAACCTAAAGAGGGGAGAAAACATTTTTTTTTTTCCTTCATAAAAAATACTCACAATTTTATGGTTGGCTACTTATATTCTGCTTATTTTGAGTTGAGTTATTTGTATGGCTCAGATTTGAAAATGTTCCTAACAATCACTTTGAAGACTAACACGCATTTAAAAAAAAAAGTCACACTCAGTTCTTAAATGAATCATGGGTGAATTTCAACCCACCATTCCTGCACACAATTCTAAAGGAGAGGCTTTAATTTTCAGGTCATAATTCACGTGGTATTACAGCATCCTTCATGCTGAGCGCCAACCAAGACAAATTTTGCAAATACTGGCCACAGCTATCCTACAGACAGAATTCCATTCAACACTGGGTTCTCAGCAGAGGTTGGCACACATAAAAAGTATGAGAAGCCAGACTTTGCTCACTGCACATTCTCAGGGAGCCAAACCAAAGAGCTGGGAGTTGCATGTACACTTTACACAAGGGGCCGGGAATGTGTGCAGATCCACACAGAGGACACAAGGCAGGAGGAGGCATGCGGGATCAAGCCGGCCCCCTCATCCCAATCAAAGCCAGGCAGGGCATGAAAGTTGCTCCACTTACCCAGCGTAGCGGTTGTTGTAAAGGTGGCTGTGCCCTGGTTGCAGAAGCTTCAAAAGGAGCCAGCAAAGAGGCAGAAAAGCAGCTGTCTGGCTCCTGGGCTTCTCGAGGAAGTTCATAGCTTTACAAAGAGAAGAGTTGAAAGTTCCTCCCAGCCAGCAGTCACCCGAGGAGGTGAAGGAGGTGGCGCACAGCAGCCCTGCTCCCTACACACGTTGTCTGGAGGGGGTGGGGGAGAGGGCTTGGGAGTGAGCAAAAGGTGACACTCTTCAGTCACAAGAAAAAAAAAAAAAGTTTAGGCAGCTGAGGAAGGCAAGTTGCTATTAAGACTTGGTCTTGGGAGAAGCAGCAGCCCAGCCCAGCCTAGCCCAGCCCAGCCCAGCCCATTCCAGCTGCAGAGCCTGAGCCTTAATCAGGCTCCCCTGCAAGGGGCTGGGCCTCCCTAGTGCTGACTCATGGCAGGGATTTGCTGGGTGCTGCTTCCTTTGGGTAACTTTTCTCCGTTTTTGATTTGTTCGTTTTTCCAATTTGAGGCTCTTAACTTTTTTTGCTCTCTACTACCTTCTACACCCTAAGGCCCCGATTGTAATTGCAAATAATAAGTCAGTAAATGAGCTCAACAAGCAGGCATAAACCATTCTCAGCTTAATGTTGTGCTCTCCCTCGAAGGATTTCCACACAGCTTCCACACACTGAAATGACAGTGACTAGCCGTGATGAGCTCATGTGCACGAAGAGCTGCGTACCTGGACCAGAGAAGCCAGTCTCTGTCCTACTCCTGTCTTGGAGGGAGTAGTGGTTTTATGGAGCTGCTGGGAGCTCTTTATGTTCATTCTGCATTAGAAGCACCCCCCCACCCGTCTGCTGCTATTTCAGGGGCGCTCATAGACATAGAGAATAGAGGGCCTCCAAGTGCGGTACTCAGTTGGCACATCTGAAATCACTTAGGAAGTGTGAGCATTAAAAGCAGAATTCTGAGGAGTGGGATCATTTAAAAACAGAACAAAACAAAACAAAAAAACTTCCCCAGTAATTTCAGTGTTCAAACATCACATTGGTCTAGGGGTTTCTCAAACCTCAACCTGCTTATTATAGGTCATTTGGGGGTCTCATAAGGCAGCTCTGAGGCAGTAGGCTGGGTCCTGTGATTCTGGGTTCTCCTGCACTCCTTGTGAGGCTGATGAGAATGACACTTCAGCCACACTTTGAGCAGCAGGATTTTAAAGGAAGTCTACTTTTTCTTCCCTACTGACTAGGGGAAAACCAGGTACGGAGGTATACATGTGTGATCCCAGTTGTCTGCAAGGCTGAGGCAGGAGGATTGAAACTTTGAGTACAGCCTGGATAACAGAGATTACTTAGACCCTTTATCAAAATGAAAATTAAAACTGGAAGCTCACTGAGAAAGCCCTGAGTTAATTAATGTTTTGCTCTCCCATGAAAGAGTTTCACACAGCTTTTACACACTGAAATGATAGTAAATAGTCCTGATGAGCACAAGCACAAGAGAAAGCTGCATACTTGGACCTGAAAAGCTAGTCTTCGTCCCACTCCTGACCATCCTGGGAAGGGACAATGGCTTTTTTGGGGCTGCAGGGAGCTCTTGATATTCATCTGCATCAGCAGGACTCATCCCTAGGTAATAGTTAAAAAAATCAGGGGAACTTGAAGCTCCTTTTTGGTTTTCACTCCCAACCCTGCCTGTGATAGTGATAGTGTTTTAGTTTTGCTTTGTGTTTTCATCCATTTGCTTCTACCTGAATTCACCAGGAAGCCCATCCTGGAGGATATACTTTGCTCATTAATATAGGGTGTCTCCTGTTAGCCATGTGCCCATCCTGGTGGTTCTCTCAGGACAGAGCTATCCTGCCAACATATCTCAGCTGCACTCACGTGCTTTTCAAGTTTCCTGAAGAGCTGTGGCCAAGAACTCTGGTACCCTCCGTTATGATAGCTTGAGTGCCCATTTAAGGGAAAGCAGCAAGCTTTTCCTACCTTCTCTACCTTGAAAGCCAACCGAGCTCCTTTGATAGATCTAGTTTCAGGTTCATGATACTGAAATGATTTGTATTTAAAATGAATCACTAAAATGTTCTTCAACTGTCCCAGTATAAGTTGGATTAATCTCCTCTCTGCCTCTCTCCCTATTATCTGGCAGGTCTGCTAGAGGACTCAGTGGTATTAAATTGATCTTTTTGCCTTGTTTCTTCACAAAATTGCCTTGGCTTGAATGCCACACTATCTTTTTTTGTGTTTGTACATGTGAAGTTACACTTGCTGGAGGAAAACAACATTCACCAAAGAAATGATGAATAGTGTTTGTTGAGCGAATGATGAACCTCAAAAAAAATTCATTCAATTCACATTGCTTTGTGGCTCCTGCATCCAGACAAAAGAAAGAACACCTTAGTAGCAGAGATGCCTTTGGGGAATGGACGTTGCCCAGGTCTCCTGGTTTCTGGTTTTGGCTCTTTCTTTGTTTATATTTGTTTTATTCCTTCCTGACTTCATGGCCTAGTGCTCTGGTCTTTCTAAGCTTGGGAGGCTGCTCTGCAAGGCTCCCCAGGATACTTGCAGCCTTTGTGAGGAAGCCAAGAAAGCCTATACAACAGCCAGTGAATTGTTGAAATAAGAGTTACTGTGTAAATAAAACACTTCATCCCTTTGCATTTCATTATGTCAGAACAAAGTATAAATCTGTCATATTATATCACAATATTAAAGTAGGAATGTGCAGTCTCTGACTAGGGACTAAGCTCATCTTCAAATCATTCTGTGGATCAGAGCCAGCAAGCACGTTATACAAAGGGCTCTCCAGACTCTGAGGCCAAGGTAAACATTTCCTGAACCATCAAAAATTCAAGAGACCCTAGAGACATCCTACAACTATCCTAAAATTTTCAGATCAAAGAGAAGTTCTCAAACAATTGAAGCCATTCCTAGTTATCTTCCTCTGCTTTCTTAAGGACCAGGTTATCTGATCAAATTTCTCCTAGAGTAGATAAGGTCCATAAAATGAGTGATAAGTGAAGTTCCATTTAGTTAGTGGGAGGAGAAAAGAATAGTTTTATAGATGGATTCAAAGATAAAAGTTTCATTTTCAAGGCACTGACATGGAGTGAATTATTAAACCAGTTAAGCATTTGGAAATGGGAAGATGAGAAATGCTACATATTGGCTCATATGCCTTTGTCATGTTTTAGTGGAAGAGAGAATGTTATCAAAAGAAATACTACCATGTAGAGAAAGAAAGGAAACTACAGTTAGAGGAAGATGCCATCCTTGATTTGGGTCCATTTTTTTTTTCAAAGTTTTATTGATACACAGATAGCAATGAGACAGTTTCAAATCAAATCGGAAGTACAGTTTCAACAAATAATACACTGCATATATTCTTCTTAGTGGTTAATTGCTGTACAAGAAGTGGACTTGTGATCCTATTTACAAACACCATTAGAACAAATCATTCTATTCATTAAGAGAATGCAACTATATATCTATCCCAACCACTCTGAATACACAGATACAAAATGGACATTCATCGGTATACCCCATTTTTTCTAAGTTCCATCATTGAATACTATAGGTGTGTAAACTCAGCAAAATATCCTAAAAGAGTCCAGTAGCCCATAATAGCATTGGGTCTTCTGTTTAACTGGCAATGTCAGAAATTATTGTGGGTCCATTTTTTATATTAGATAATTTTTACTGTTCTTTCCAGATCAGAAATTCAACAATGTGATGGGGGAAGATTTTATAAATCCTTATTCCTAGATATTAGAACCCTAACATCTGGGAACCCTTTTTCCTAGATGTTAGAGCCCTGTAGTTTATAGATGGATTCAAAGATAAAAGTTTCATTTTCAAGGCACTGACATGGAGTGAATTATTAAACTATGTGGAAGAGTGAGGTGGGTGCGGTTGGGGGTTTGTAGTTCAGGCAACCCTTGCACTGCAGTTGGTCTTATGTTCACTCCTCAGTGTCTTACTGGCATAGATATTGCAATTATCAGGTCTCTTTTATGGCTTTCTACAATGATTCAAACCTAAGGGAATAACAAATGTGAAGTTGGGTTCCTGCCTTCTATGTCTTGGCAGTTCTGTGAGGAATGTTCTGAAGTTTCCCAGGTAATCCATCACTGAGGATTTCTTCCCAAGCATGTTCTTCAACATATTATCTGTCCTTACTGCCTTCTGTGCCTCTGGTCTTTTTCTCCTCACCAACACTATTCTTAAATACAAGCCATTTCTCATCTTTGATTTTTGTTTTGCAGGAACTCCAAAGCACATGTTTTGTTTTATTAAGGCAGGGTCTTACTATGAATTCCAAGAAAGTCTTGAACTTGGGATAGTCTGACCTCAGCATGCCAAGTGCTGGGATTAAAGCATGTGCCAGCACACCTGGCCAAAGCAGACTCTTGATTCCTGACAATTTGCTTTCCTTTTTTACCACCTGGCTGAAACTTTCTTTCAAAGATTGGTGGTGACACTCTATTCTCAACCCTCTTCATATTGGACAGCTTCTGAGGCTGTTCACTTCTTGTCTGAAACACTCCTTTCCCATGGTATCTAGAACACTTTTCTCCTGCTCTTCTCTTTCACAGGGTCTGGATTTCAATCCTCCCTCCTTTTCTCTCTCCCTCCTTCTCTCTCTTGTCTGCTTAAAAAGTCAGTGTTCACCTGTGTCTGGACCTCTTCTTGATCAATATCATTATGAAAGTTGTCTCTAATTCTGTAAATTTTGGTGCTGGCAGAAGTGCTGGGCAGATGAAAGAATTTACATTGTTGTACCAGGTAGTTCAATGAACTCTACAGAAACAAATGAAACCCTGTGGCAGAAAGTTAAAGAGCCAGTTGGGGACCATATATTTGGGTAGTCCTAAGGAAGTAGACTATTAATCCAAGTATGAGTAGAAGCCAACCATACCAAGAGAAGGGGGTGCTGAGGAGTGGGAGAAGAAGCAGCCCCGGCATAGAGAGGAACAATGGACAAAGGCGTCCTGCTCATAGCATATTCTCCTTCATCACATTGGGACAGGCTAGAGAGCAATGTTCAGGCTCCTCAGGTTGGCATGCTAGTCTCTTGAAAACCTTTTAGTTTTTATCTCTTTCAGTGTTCAGTAGATGTTCTGGGTCTTTTTCTTCCCTTGTGTTTGTTTCTTCAGTGCTGGCCTCCAAAACCAGGCAAGGTGGTACACTCCTGTAATCCCACTGATGGGGAGGCTGAAACAGGAGGATCAATAGGAGTCTGAACTGCATAGTGAGACCCTGTATCAAATATTTTTTTTTAAAGAAGAAGACAGCTATTGTGAATCAGGCAGGATGGACAGGATGGAATC